TGGTGCAAACCCCATCGGGCCGAAAACGCTATATGTGAGTAGACTCAACTGTTGCGGAGCGAATCCGTGAGCGCTCGTTGCTATTGGATGATTAAAAAAAATACACCAATAGCAGCGCGCGCTCACGGATCCACTCCGCAACAGTTGAGTCTGCTGAACGCGACCAATTAAGGTGCAGCCACAATAGAAGGAATAAGGAATTAGGAATAAGGGGCTCCGCACAATAAGGGCCTGAGTACAATAGAGGAACAGGAATTAGATATTAAGATTTCAACCTATCAGAAACTAATTACATCGGAATACGCGGTTTCTGATAGGTTGAAATCTTAGTATCTAATTCTTGTTCCTCTATTGTGCGCAGGCCCTAAAAGGAACAGGGAACAGAGAACAGAGAATAAGAATTTCAACCTATCAGAAATCATGTATTGTGGAATACGCACTGCGTATTCTGCGGAGCCCCTAACGATTCCTTCAGGAAACAGGAAACACGTAGCAAGAAATACAATTGTCGATAAAACGGATGCAAAGGGGGAAAAAGCAAGAGGTGAAAAGTAAGAAACAGGAAACAAAGAATTGTAGAATAGGCTTTAATATAATTGCGAAAGAACAAGAGTTTCAAGATGGAGGGGTAACGCGTAGTGCGAGCGATCTCTCGATAATCGATACTTGAAATTCGAATACAGGCTTCGTGACGGGGAACGTTTCGCACGCTCAAATTACGTTGAGATAACATGATATTCCCCTGCCGTTGCTATCGCTTTTACGAGTAATACGATCCCCCATTTCGCACATACGAGAATATACTTACGTGTATATTATCGCCGCGATCTAATTCATGCTCACTCATTCGTAAGCATTATTTATTCTGATTTAATATTTGATCAACAGTAAGAATGAAATAAATTCTTAATCGTTGTTAAAGTAAATCGAACCACAAACTATAGGCCTGTTCTTTTCAGCTAAACTTTTTGCACGGTTTGCCTTTTCTCTTTTCCTCTCCAACGTGGAAAGAAAAGGAAGAAAGATAAACCGTGCAAGAACTTTAACTAAAAAGAACAGACCTTATGTTTGTCCGAGCTATCGCGTGCGCTCAGATAAAACCATCAGATTAAAGAGACAAAGCTAACGTACGATCGTGACTTATCGTTAGTATCCTTCTAGAACACACACGGCTCAACGTTGCACATCGTCGCGCACTCTGAAACACGAGGTACGATGGAATCCGCGGCGGTCTCGGTCTTGAAGCGAGCAGTGGAGATGGACAAGAAAGAGCAATATACGATGGCGTTGGTATTGTACCAGGAAGGCGTGCAGATACTCCTCGACGCGGTAAAAGGTATACTATATAGATCAATATAGATACCTTTTACTTCTAGCTTCGTTTGTTAAGAGAAAAAAAATGTTATATCAGTTTTATTATTACTACCTTTGTTAAGAAGTTCAAGATAATAAAACGATGCAGAGACGAAGGAAGCATACAAGGTGGAGTACCTTACGACCAAAGCGAGAGAATATCTTGACAGAGCCGAAAAGGTGAAGAAGTTGGTCAGTACGAGGAAATCAGCTGGTATATACACAGAACTGGTTAAAATCGAGGACGGATCAACGGGGTATGGCTACGCGAGTGTCTTCGGCAGATTCTTGGACGGTACCGTCACTTCAATTGACATCGAAGATCCATACATACGAGCCTTCCACCAGGTGTGTGCTCTATTTGCATAAGCCCCGAAATAGAATAGGTGCAGTAAGTAAGCTTTAAATCATAACAGGGGCTCTACAATGGAAGTCGTAGAAAATTAGCCAATCACGGTACAATATGAAAAGAATAAGCGACTATGATTGGTTAATTTTCTACTTAAGACCCTACGACCGTTATAACTTCTATTGTAGATAGAGATGAAAATGACTGGTAATTTACTTGATAAATTACGGTAAATTAATCAGTAATTTTTGGAGACTGGTGAAATGGTAATTTTAAAAAATTATAAAAAATCATTTAATGTAAAAGCATTTAGCCTTTAATTATTACATTCATCAAAATGCTTTATTTAACTTATATTTTCATTTTGATATTACATATTGGTATACAATTATGTTGTATGTGTAATATTATGTAATATTATTCTTTTAATTATATATAATAAAAGACTAGGTACATGGTCTAAACTAAAGGAATTTCAAATAAATTTGTTTTATTAGGAATCTGAAAAAACGTAACAAGTACAATAATCTTAAACTATTTTGTACATATTTTAATTTTTTTAATTTGTATTTTCATATTTTTTACTTTATAATTAAACTTATAAAACTTTCATTTATTTGCTTACTATTTCAGTGACTAGGTTGTTAGAGACAGTTTTTATTAGAATAAAAACAAAGACACAATTATATATCAAAAATAAAATAATCTTTCCGTAATTGCACTATTGCTGGAATTTCTCTCTCTCTCTCTCTCTCTCTCTCTCTCTCTCTCTCTCTCTCTAAATATAGAATAATTTTAAATAATTCGATAAGAAGCTAGATTTTAAAATATAAAACAAGGAATTATGTAAAAAAAATACTGGAATTTTTAATCTGCATTGTTTTCTATTTTTGGTCACTGTATCAAATCTCTAGGGAACCATATATTGAAAACGGCATTGATTAGATTTTACGTTTAGATTTAGTGAATAGTCCTATTATTATTCTATCAGCGATTTTTACTTCTGAAGATTGGCGAAAACGGAAAGAGTATGCGTTTCACCGAGGCAGATCCGTGCTGATAATATTCATAACTACAGTGTATTATATGTCTTATCAACTTTTGGCTACTGACTTCTTATTGACCAAGCATGGTTTATAACACGTAATTATTATATTTTCGTTGAGAAGAATATTGTTTTATATTATGCATTAATATGAAAAATATAAATAAAATCTATTTGTGCATAAAATTATAAAAAACAACAAATTTTGTCAAAATTACCAATAAATTACCATTTTACCGTAATTGTCAAATTGAATTTGACTGTAATTTTACAAATACACTTAATTGTAAAGACCCTATATAAGATATTATCTAAAACAGTCAAATATAAGAAGAATAATCGACTATAGTTGATTTCTTACAGCTTAAAGTCTATTCTATAATGTGCTCTTTGTTTCCTGTTTCTTGTTTTTTATTGTTTGCTTTTTTCTCCTTTGCAATCATTTTATCGATAATTATATTTCTTGCTATGTATTTCTTGTTTCTTTTGAAGTTTGTTATCTTTTATCTCAGGCAATATAAAACAAAAACCGGATAAGAAGCAAAAAGACAAGATGTAAAAAGCAGGAAATAGAAAACAAAAAGCATATTGTAGAATAGGTTTACTACTATCTATTGTGTTTCGAAACTAATACGTGAATGCATAATGATACTACGTAATTTGATATATTGTGTTGATTCCTGTATTCTGTCTTCTTCATAGTGTCAGAATCTGGTCAGACTATGTGAGCTGGCAGTTCAAAAGTGCTGTGCATTGTCCAAAATCTCCCTGCTTACGACTTACAATATGAAAGAATCTAGCCAAATCTCCAGATTGGCCGAGCTGAAAGAAAGTTTGGCGTCTCGTAATATTTCTTTTGAATTTTCTTTCTCCGAGACGTTACACGACAGACAAATCACGTAAGGCCACAATATAATTGTTACGTTCTGAAAATTTATTCCAAATTTATCAATTATCTTTCTTTTTATTTCAGACTGAGTAATGGATGGGTGATAAAAATTGGACGTGGATTGGACTATTTTAAAACGCCGGAAGGTAAATTCGTTCTTGGCTCGTGCGATCTAGAGTTAAGACCCTGCCAGGAGACTACTATACACATTCTTCATCAAAACAATCTTATTGCGGACGGAGGACCATCAAAATAGGACATATTTAATTAATAAGATAATGGTTAATCATTGATTTACATTTTCTTCATAAATGTATATTATGGCACATTTCTTTAGTACGTGACAAAAGAAAACATTTACATTTTTACAGTGCGCATCTCTTGCAATACGCTGCGCGTCGAGAGTTACATATATATTTATACATATATATTTAACAAAGATACTTGTTTTCTTCGCATTACTTTTTTACAATATAATTATTGTAATTATAATTCGCGATTATAAAATGTATTTACAATTTTTTTTCATTGTGCGTTATCTCTCACTTCTTCAACATTGTATGAATTATCGCAACAAATTTTTGTCCTTTCCAGAACCCCCTCAGTCCAGTGGGCTGTGATCCTTTGCCTTCGCGATCCCGATTTGTTTCGCAGCCTTTTTGCACGCTCGTCTCAATGATCTAGTATATCTGAACAAGCCCGTTTCCGCCTGCGTCTCATCCTTCTGATCCATTTGAGCTTCATTTACTCTGCATGATCCGGGCAAACAATCCCCGCCGCCGACAGCGACCACTTGTCTTGCGATCTCCGGTTCTACGCAGAGTCGGGTCAACGCAGCTGCTGCGGTAATCTCCAGCCGTTGGTATGCGTCCTCCAGACCCGGTGGCCTCATTCGGAGAAAAGAAACTAATGCTACAGAGGCTCGTGCCTTCGCTAAATGCGATCGGCCTTCAGGAACCCGCGCCAGTTCACCGATTAATGCAGCAACTTGCTCCATCAGCCATACGTTACCGCCGGCAGATTTCTTCACGCTTCTTAGGAGCTTCTTCACGCTGTCTTCTTCTAATATAATCGTAACGCATATTCTCGACTTGGACAATTGATTGAGCGCCGCGGCGGCCAACAACAACGTTTGTGCGCAATTTGTATTCTCGACCAGCTGATTCAATGCCGGAATCAGCGAGTCTGCAAAGGGTTCGAGATATGGTAGACCTCGCGCATTGGTCCACGATGCCGTGATTTGCACTACCAAGGCGGTGGCTTCAGTCTCTTCCTTCTCGGAGGAAGATTCCGCACCCAGGAAATCCGTCAATAGCTCAGGACCGCCTTCTCGGGCGAAACATTCGATCGCTGTCGCGGAACTGCACACGCTGGCCAGAGCACGTAACGTGATCGCAACGAGATCATTTGATAGTAGACTAGCGGTGACGAGACACGTTAAGAGAGCCTTTATGCCGGAACATCGAGCTATGCTGCTTCCCGCGCGAGGATCTGACAATCCTAAAGCCGTCAGGGCTGCCAGAGCGCCTCTAGCCACGGTACTATCCTCCCGTGGAGCTTCCTCGAGACCTCGGACTATTTTCTGAAGAGATTTTTGTATCATTATTTTTTTTTTATTACTATCAATAAATATAAGATGATATAACTAACCTCGATGTAAAAATCTAAGCGCGTGTCGACTGTGCTGTCGACGTATATTTTCATATTTTGCAATTGCGCGAGGATGCTTCTCAGACTACCCTGCTGTACCCTGCGGGGAGGAGGTGCACCTAATTGAGAGAGAATCGAAAATGCGGCTTCTTCTATATTGCGAAGAAGCTCCATTTCAAATCTGCCACCTTCCAGCCGAGTTATTTTCCTGCGCGACAATAATTAATGTAATTATTAAATTATAATTATTAATCATCACTTTTAAATATCAACAATTTCATGTATAGTTTTCTTGTTTTACAGTTAATTATGAATTTCGTACATAACACTAATTAAAGATCATTATCTCTAATTGTGATCGAATGCAATAAATTCGGGATAATAAAGATGCCTGCTCGTCCCGATATCATTATATAGGAGGATTAAAGAAAATGGGCTTACTCCACAATACTCTGATAATGTTGCTCGAATTGTTCTGCGTTGACTAGAAGTTTGCTTGCGGCCGCGGTGGCTGCAGAAGATAACATCTTCAAATCTCGCACGTGAACCTCGCCAGACATCATTCGGACTTCTCTGCGCGGTAAAGTCTTGCTTTGCAGCGTGTTGCCGCACTCGTTCTCGGTCATCGTAGTGAGGTCAGTGAGCCATGCCCTCATGGATGATGATTGACGATAATTTCTGGACTTCAACACGTCCCTGCCGGCGGCGATTGCTTCCGCGGCATTAGTGGAAGCCCACGATTTCGTTATTGACGACTGAATGCTATCTTCCGGCGGCTCAGATGTGTACAGAAAATCACATAGACTTTCTTCCCCCAATGATACGGAGGAGGGTACTTTCGATGCGTTGTCCTGATCCTCGTCAGCCCTGGAAAAGAAAGTTTGGTAAGCACAATAAGAAAAATTATAGATATAAAAAAATTAACTTTAAATATCACTCAGACAATAAAAAAACATCCTACTTTTCCAGATATACTTCAAATATCTTTCAAATATCTCTAGGATTTCATTTTATTTGACTTATCGTTACCCTTAAATTACACCACCTTAAACGAGTCATAACGAGTCGACGCAGATCTCGGCACGATTATTGTCATTCTGTTACTGCGAGACGCATTGCAATGCAATGTATTCGTAATCGTCGCCGACCGCTTTTTTTCCGGACAGACGGAAGCGCCGAGGGCAATTAGTGGCAACTTAAAAGCTGACTAATCGAACTGCTGCGGAGAATACTTCTTTTCCCCGCGCACGCGATGACTAATCTCTCGCTCCTTCGATACGTTGCGTTGTATTGTAATGCGTCCACCTGCGCGCCGGTGCACGTTAGAGCTGAATTCCTTGTAGATTCGCTGTCGCGTACCGAAAGCGCGGCCTAAACAGTTGACTCAAACCTCGGGCTAGCCGACAGCCACAGCTCGCGCTCATTCATTTACGTATTCTCCTCGTGCAGCACGTCGCATTGACTCACGTACGGTGCGAATGTACACGGTGACGAACAGAAAAGCACGTCCGTACAAGAGAACCCAGCGTGATTGGCATCCCAATCTCATGACGAATTTAACACCCGATGGAATACAAGAAATAAATGTTTATTTCTATCAATATAGATTAATTTTTATCTCAGTTTAACTTACTTTTTATTTTTTTTTAGTTTTAAGAATAAAAAAAAATAAAGAGTAAATTGAACTATAAGTTGAAGTTATTAGAAAAAGAGATAAAGAGTATATTGAACTGTATAAGATTAAAGTTAATTTACAATAGTGGGAAAACAGGTCAAGGATGAACAATCTATAAGTAATTCATGAAAGAATATTATTTTAGCATATAAAGCTATAAATAGAATTCGTTTCAAAAAGGACAAAAGAAAGGAAAAGCTCAGAATACACTGGTAGACTAGGATACAAAAGAATGGACTTTCCCTTTCCTACATTATTTCGTTTTCTTAATATTGCGTTACTCAAGATGCAGGTTTATAGCTGCATATGCAATGATAGGTGTTTCCGGTACGATACCGATTTACATGATCGCGTTTTACAGCGTAGCAGTACGATTGTCAGTGCTTTTTAATCAGCGGAAAATAATGCGCAATCTAATGACCGCTCTGTCCAACCGCGGGATGCATAATTGCGCACATATCTCACTTAACCGGTTCGAATCCCTTCGAGTCATTGTACGGCGAGACCTCATTACGTGCCGTAATAAGTCGGTTAGCTGTGCATACGAGGGCGTGATACGCATACAATGACTCGGCGATAAGCCGAGGCACCTTCACGGACTGAGGACTGATAATCATCCACTCGAGGCCGGCACATCTCTCGTTGTATTATGAAGAGAGGAGCTCGATTCTCGAGCGTGCGTCATTGCTTACGACACAATATAAGCTGTGCGATACGATCCACGTGTGTTCTCCATGCACGTTTATTCTACATTATTTTCTACATTATTCGATTATGTACGGCGGAGACAGCGACAAAATTGCCTTACGTCGCATTCCTTCACCGATTGACTCATATATTTCTCCAATCTTATCGCGACGATTTTCCGGGCGTTCTTCTGGCCCAGATTGACACAGTTTTGAAAATTAAAAATTATTAATACCGTTGTCGATAGTGCAGCTTTTTCCGAATAACTATGCGCGTGTTGAATCAGACTCAATCATATTTTCTGAGTCAGCAATGCGCTAAACGACGTTTGAAATGAATATGTCGGCATTTTGCTTCGCTTTTTCCTTATCTTTGTTTTCTTTAGTAATGAGTCTTTAACTTTTTTTTTCTTTATTAATGTAAGATAAAATAACTTGCTCACCTTTGTTCTCGTGACGGGCTTCTTGCAGGCTTTTCTAACCGATTTCTCGCGAATATCCTGGAATCCTTTGGCGTGGACGTATGCGTCGGTATCGGAGGAGATCCTTCCTCCAGCCATGGAGAAGCTGGCTGGAGCCTATGTCTCATTCGTTTCCTCCTCAATTTCCGCCTTGGAGTTGCGTTCTCATAAGCCTCCGAACAGTCCGATCTCTCAGAATCTGAGAATCCGGAGTCCTGGCTCTTGAAATCTTGACTCAAAGGACTGTAGGATCTGTTTCTTCTCTCGCACTCCTCCTCCCCTTTATCGGTTTCCTCCATTGACATTCTAGACGTTTAAATATCATTTTAAATATCCGTGTTAATTAATACATTAATTAACACAATGTCATTCGCATAATTAACTTGAATTGATCTCTCTCAATTTTTTTAATTATAGACTATTGAAAAATGATTTTATTAGAGCAAGGGCAATTATCTTAAGAGCAATCATCTTAAATTATTTGCTACTGATATTAAAACGTTGAAAACTAATATCGAAAGTATCTAAAAATGATTTCGTATTTTTTTTTTTAAATAAATATAAAGATTGTGTGAGGCCATTTGGTCCTAGAATACATTGCTCTGATATCCCAACGCACTCATGTCTTCTTCACTATTTTCAGTTAATAAAAAAATACTGCAGCTTTAAATAAATACTTTCAAAAAGATAAAGAAATATTGAATTATATTATTCTCCAGCAATCGCTTAGTGACGAATTGCTTATTTTACATACCTACGACGTGTTATACTTTCATCGCGTATCAACGAAATCTGACACGCGTTTTGTTTTGTGTTTTCGTCGTTACAGACATGTATCGCGGTGATATTCATATCATCGACTGTATCATTTTCTGACTTGGTCGAATCTTCTTCTTCTTCTTCTTTCTCCTCTTTTTCACGGCCATGTTCATTGAAAGAATAATGCGGGGGATCGTTTCTTCCTCCAGAACGATCATCCTCCAGATCGTGTGAGGCCATTTGGTCCCAGAACACCTTACTTTGATATCTCTTGAACGCACTCATGTTTCTTTCAATTTGTTTCACTTAACGAAGCTTGCAAAATGCTCGCCGAAATCAGTCAAAAAGAGACAGAGATAAAAACTACCAAATTTTTATTTTCACTATTTCAAATCTTTGGTTCTTTTACTATTCACAGGAGCACATTGTGAACGAGCAAGGGAGTTCGATAAACGTTCGCGGGACCTCGAGGTGGCCAGGATGCGCCCAGGGTACTCTGTGTTTTACTCCAACGGGGTGCTTTCACGACCCAGCGGAGCGCAACGACCCTCCCACGGTCAGTGGTCGCGTGGCTGCTTGGAGAACCACCGTATGGTGTCCGTCGCAACCCCCACAGACTGCTGTTTAATGGTGAGTCCCGCACACGACACGTATGCTCTTCTTCTTCGGTAAAATACTTCTTTGAATGAAACTTCGAACCACTTGGAGATTTCGTACGAAATAATAATTGTTTCTCTTCGATTCGTTCTATAGGACAAAAGCTTTGTTCGGAATTCAATTCTTCGATCGGACAAGAATCACTTTCCTGATCTCAATCACTGTGGATCCACGTCCCGAATCATCTCGATCTCTCGCGATCCTTCGTGGTCCCGAACCATCTATGTTGCGATCGGTCCTCCAGAAATCTTCGGTCTCGCGATAAATGATATACACGTGCCCACGTGCACACCGTTGCGCGAATACGATACGATGATTGAACTATGCGCGCTAATGCCCCACAATCGACTGACTCGGAGTCCGACTTCCGACTTCCTCGTCGCTCGCGCGACTCGATCTCTTCGCGTCCCACCCTTTCCCCGCCCCAAAGCCAAGTCGTGTGAAAGCGCAGCGGGCCCCTCATTCCCTTTCTGCCTTCGTCGTTTCCACAGGGGCAGCTTGCACGGGGCGTCCGTCTCCCTGTGCATGCCCCCCTTACATACACACACACACGTGGGACGAAACGCGTGTCAGTGCGTAACCGTCAAACCGTAACGAGACGCGCGTTCTCTTTGACGGGACGCACGCCGGAAGGCCTTTAATTGCGATAGACACAAGGTGATCTAGGTTCTGGTATGCAAAGTGGATAGATCTGCGTAAATGGCATATCTGTGTACGTCTTCGTAGTGCAGTTTTCTTATCGCACAGATTTCCGCGACGAAGACAAATTTTTAAGATTATTGGACATCTCACTACGATAAAACAACGAGACTTTTTTATTTCTTGTGACCGTATTCCAGTTTATACGTGTCACTATACATTATGAGAAACTCGATGATCAAAAACAAGGAAAGAGAATGTCGAGGTCAGTTTATTCTAAAATAAATGAAACTAATTAAATTTATTAAGACAAGAAATAAAATATGTAGCACTGAGAGACAGGAATGTTTCAAATAGATTTTATTAAACTATTGAACTGTATACTGAACTGGGGAATTAAGAAATGAATATTATAGTATAGTATAAAATAAAAAAGATTCTAAGATTATACCATTTCTTATGAATCGCTCATTCGATTTATTTTATAAACAAAATTTTAAAATATTTAATAAATGTGAGCAAAGTTCAGGAAAATGTGTATTTTTTAAACAATTCAAAAGAAAAATATTATAGAAAATGCTTTTAAATATTAAATAAGTCTAAAGATGAGGTGAGCCTCATTTAGAATTCATTGTCGTGCGCCTAATCTTTTCCATGGTATCGATTGACATCCGCAAATAAGAAGTAACAATAGCTTTTAACAATCGGTAAAGCCTGCACGCAGTAGGAGGTATAACAAGACACTTTTCTTTTACTTTCGAAAGGTGATAAGTTCGTCTCTTCGGAGGGACTATCCATTGGCGTGGAGAACGCAGGATGAGGTCTCGAGCTATCTTCCAGGCTCGTTTGGAGCTGGAAGATGTCTATGAAATCACACCAATGGTATTTTTAAGGGCCAGGTGTGCGATTATCGATCCCCTGTGAACGCGACCAAACGGGGGTCTGCCCCCCGAAAGAACCATGGCACCATTCACCGAGGCGATACAGCGCGGAGGCACGCGCCCGCTCGGAACATCTGCACGTGTAACATGCCTATGGTGACGCGTCATGCGTGTGTGTGAGAGTGGCTGAGTCACTCACACGTGTTCCGCGTTGCGTGCCCGAATTTAAATTTTAAAGGACGTGGAAATTTAATGAATTCACGCGTATGATAATCGAGTAAGGTTGTAAGTACGATTGGCGACAAGTCCAATTTATACTCGTTTCTACTAATGTAGTTTAATTTTAAATCTGATTCAACTAATTTTTTATCTTTTTCTAATTCTAAGAATGAAGAGCAAGTTAAATCGAGATTAATTTACTGGGTTGGTCAGAAAGTTCGTGCCGGATTTTTTAGCACAAAATTGTATTTACAATATCTTTGTCAAAAATAAACGAAATTTAAATTTTGAAATACGATTTTGAAGCTTGAAATCTCTACTTTCAAAAGGTTACTATGTTTTTTGAGTTTCTGTGAGTTTAATAATTTTTAGAACAGAAAACTATGAGCTAAAAAAGATGGAAAATTTTTTTCTAACTTTGGATCTATCATTTGCCCCCAAAAAATTTGCAAAAATTTTCGGCTTTCCGTCCAAATGAAAGTTTAAAATTTTCTCTACAAAATCGTTTTTAATAAGTGTTCCTAAGATTTTTTGTTACTGAGTTATCACGAATTAAATAAAAGGAGCATTTTGACTTTGATTGCTCATAACTTCGTTAACAATTACCATAATTTAAAAAATCAATTTTTAAAGCTAAAACTTTACTCTATTGGATGGTATAACAATAAATATACAACAAATATATTTTATGTATAATTTTGAGTTTTGAGAAAAAAAACAGCACGAACTTTCTGACCAACTCAGTACATTGATAGAAATGGAAATTAGTCATTAAAATATCTCGTCTTGAAATCCGAGAGGCGTCAGAAAGTTGTCATTCGGAGATGTTGTCAAAATGAATTTTGGTTATTTAAAAAATCTTTGACTTGGTCTGACGTTCTAAGGGTGTTCAAAAAAGATGATACCAAACTTTAGGACTATGTATTACTCGTGAAAACAAATCGAAAAGTCTTAATAAGTAGCAAATCTAAAAATCATTTATTTTCCAGTTGTAAAGCAGAAAGTAAATTTAATTTATAACAGATATTCAATGCGCCCCCCGTTTAATTCAACACATTATTCTGCACGTTTTTTTATTGAAAATTAAACAAGTTCAAAGATTTTATTGCAGGTTTATTTTTTGTTTGTTGACAACAGTATTCAATTTTCTGAGCGTCAATTAAGCCAGTCAGTCCAAAAGCGTCAGTTAAGTGAGTTCGTCCAATGTATCAACTGATGCATATGTTTATACGTATAAATATCAAATGCCAACGATATTCATTATTTTCAACCTTAGAAGTCCGTGAAGGACGAGTGTATACGAGCGATCGCACGTAAATACGTTTACATATTCGAAATAAATGAATTATTCATTTACAGTAGAAAATGCTTTATAACTCGGACATAAATTATTTTTGGAGTACTGCTTATTAAGACTTTTTAGTTGGTTTTGACGAATGTATAACATGTTCCTAAAGTTCAGTATCACCTTTTTTGAACACCCTGTATAATTCGACGAGAGAGAAAAATCGATTAGATATTTCTACGCGAACCGCGAATTATATAGCATGCGTGCAGCAACGGTGAACAATCTGCTGAGGAAAATACCAAGGGAAAACGGCTCATTCATTTTGCGTTCCCGCTGTTAATTGCCAGAGATCGGGGCTATCGATAAATAGCGAGTATCGAAACCGCTAATGAGCGTAGCAATAGCATAACGATGCGTTTCCTTGCATCGAGGTAAAGCAATCTCTTCGTTTTATCGGGAGATAACGCAGTTTCCAGAGATTGTTCGGCCGCGACCGGCCGTGCCTTCTCATTGTCGATGCGTATGCATGCCATACGTACACGACGATGAGTCCAACTGCGCGTCTCATAGGAGCACGAAGGGGTCCTTACGACCCCTATTATACGTACCAGCCGGAATGGGGGACAGATGTGTACAAACCGTTATTTAAGCGCGTGCGTTTAAGCGCGTCTGTATAAACCTGCAATGCACATCTGCGATGCTCAAAATTCGATGACAAATCGAATTCGATTTCAAATTTAAAGCACGCCGATGAATGATCGATGATCGTTCCTTGATAGAGAAACGGTTGTTTTTATCTTATTGTGCGACAAAAACTATTTCATGCAAAGATTATTCTTCTATATACGCAAAAGTCATTTCTACACACGAAAATTATTTCACTTGTGACGATGTACTGAAGCTGAGACAACTTATACTGGATCAAATCGATAATTGTAATACGACTGTTTGAAAATTCGTGACTGTAAAATACATTTTTATAGTATTTTTACAAGTTTGCTCGTTACAAACAGATCACGCAGATGAGAAATTATAAAAAAGCACGACAATGTTGAATAAATATTTATTTCAATGAGGCATCTGAGAACAAGTTTAGTATTTATTATAAATTATGATATTATTTTGATTGTTTTTATTGCTTAATTTACGAAGAAGTAATTTATGAACTTAATTGCGGTATAATGTTAAGTACTTTATATTAAATTACGAACACCTATAAGGATGCAACCTTTTTTACGCTGCGGTTACTTTGTACGTAGTTATTTTGCACACGATACCTATTTATTTGATTTATTGATGGTAGGTGCGAAGGTCAATTTGATTTAATTATGATATTATGATTTAATAGAGATATATATATATATGTATATCCCCTGTGCTAATATTTTATATGGATATATATTTTACTTGGATACATATATATATATATATCCAAGTAATATATAGAGTACGCACAATATGTAATTCGCATTATATTCAATAAGAGTGCGTAGCACCTAACTAAAAAAAAGTTAAATATTATCAGACAACAGATTGCTCAAAGACTGATTAACTATTAAAACACTTAACTCTACAAGAAAATATGACGCACAATCTGACAGACAAATTTATTACGTAATCGCAAGTTCAATTAATTATAGAGAATATTTGAAGAGAAATTTCTTCGTAGCGCTATCAATTGGTATATCGACAATCTGCAAGCATTTGTATATTTAACGGAGAATACTCCATAGAGTATAGA